TCTCTGTTTCTATACAGGGACCATGCTGTTCTGATTATTATAGCCTTTTAGTAAATTCTGATATCAGGTAACATGATAAGTCCATCTTTGCTCTTTCTCAAGATTGCTTTTGCTTTTCGAGATCTTCTGTGGTTCCATATAAATATAAGATTAATTTGTTCTAGTTCTGTGAAAAATGCCATTGGTATTTTGAATCTATAGATTACTTTGGGTAGTATGGACATTTTAATGATTTTAATTCTTTGTATCCATTAGCATGGTATATACGTCCAACTATTTGCATCTTCAATTTTTTTTTCAATGTCTTATAATTTTCTGAATACAGATCTTTTACCTTCTTGGTTAAATTCATTCCTAGGTATTTTTTTATGTAATTTTAAATTAGATAGTTTTGTTCATTTCTTTTTCTGGTAGTTCATTATTGGTGTATAGAAATGCAACCAATTTCCGAATATTAACTTTGTATCTTGCTACTTTACTAAAATCATTTAAAAGTGTTAATAGTTTTTGTTAGAATGCTTAGGGATCTCTCTATATAGCATCATGTCTTCTGCAAATAATGACAGTTTCACTTCCTCCTTTCCAATTTGGATGTCTTTTATTTCTTTTTCTAGTCTGATTGCTGCGGCTAGGACTTCCAATACTATGTTGAATAGAAATGGTAAAAGTGGACATCTTTGTCTTGTTCTTGACCTTAAGGAAAATGCTTTTAGCTTTTCCCCATTGAAAATAAATGTTAGCTGCGTGTTTGTCATATATGGCCTTTATTATGTTGAGGTATGAGCCCTCTATTCTCACTTTACTCAACTTTTTTTTTAATCATAATTAGATGTTGGATTTTGTCAAATGTTTTTTCTGTATCTATTGATATGATCACATATTTTATATGTTTCATTTTGTTGATGTGGTGTATCATGTTAATTGATTTCCAAATATATTTGATCATGGTGTATGATCTATTGTATGTCTTGCTGAATTTGATTTGCTAATATTTTGTTGAAGATTTTTGCATCTATGTTCATTAGGAATGTTGGCCTATAATTTTTTTTTTTTTTTTGTAATGTCTTTGTCTAGTTTGGTAATTAGGATAATGGTGGCCTTGTAAAATGAGCTTGGGACTCTTCCCTCTTCTTGAATTTTTCAGAATAGTTTGAGAAAAATAGGTGTTAATTCTTCTTTGAATGTTTGGTAAAATTTACTCATGAAGCAATCTGGTCCAGGACTTTTGTTTGCTGGAATTTTTTTTAGTACTGATTGATTTTATTAGTAGTTATTAGTCTGTTCAAATTTTCTGTTTCTTCTTGGTTCAGTCTTGGAAAACTGTGTTTCTAGGAATTTATCCATTTCTTTCAGATTGTCCAATTTGTTGGCATATAATTGTTTGTAGAATTTTCTTATAATCTTTTTATGTCTGTGGTGCTAATTGCCCTCCTTCATTTCTGATTTTTTTAATTTGTGTCTTCTCTTTTTTCTGGATAAGTCTTGTTAAAGGTTTATCTGTTTTATTTAGCTTTTCAAAGTACCAGCTCTTGGTTTCATTGATCTTTTGTATTGTTTTTTCAGATTCTATTGTTTACTTCTACTCTGATCTTTAGTGTTTCCTTTTTTACACTCACTTTGGGCTTTGTTTTTCTTCTTTTTATAGTTCTTTTAGATGTAAGGTTAGACTGGATATTTGAGATTTTTCTTCAGGTAGGCCTGTATTGCTCTGAATTTCCCTCTTATAACTACTTTGGCTGTGTCTCATAGATTTTTAGGTCATTGTATTTTTATTTTTATTTGTCTCAAGGTATTTTTATTTCTTCCTTGATCTTTTTGTTAACCTATTTATTGTTTAATAGTATGTTATTCAGTCTCCATGTGGTTGTGTGCTTTTCAGTTTTCTTCTTGTAATTGATTTCTAGATTCATACCATTGTGATCAGAGAAGATCCTTGATATGATTTCAGTCTTCTTAAATTTATTGAGACCTTATTTGTAGCCTATCATGTAGACTATAATGGAAAATGTTTTTCATGTGCTTGAAATATTTATGTCCATAAATATCTGCTTTATATATTTAGATACTCCTGCATGGGTGAGTAAATGTTTATAAGAGTTATATCCTTTTGTTGGATTGATTCCTTTATCATTATAAAACATCTTTCTATTATGGCCTTTGTTTTAAAGTCCATTTTGTCTGGTATAAATATTGCCTCCCCAACTTTTTTGTTTCTTTGTTTCCATTTGCACAAAATTCTTTTTCATTTTCTTACTTTCCTTCTGTGTGTTTGTTTTGATGTGAAGTAAGTATCTTGTAGGCCGCATATGTAGGGGTCTTGTTTTCTTATCCATTCAGCTACTCTATGTCTTTTGATTGGAGAATTTAATCCATTTATATTTAAAGTGATTATTGATAGGTATGTAGTTATTGCAATTTTATTTTTCATATTTTGGATCTTTTCTTCTTCTTAAAAAAGTCTCTCTAACATTTCCTGTAATGATGAACTCCTTTAGGTTTTTCTTGTCTGGTAAGCTCTTTATCTGTCTTTCCATTCCAAATGATAGCTTGGCTGAATAGAATAATTTTGGTTATAAGTTCTTATTTTCATCACTTTGAAGATTTTGTTCCAATTACTTTAGGCCTACAAAGTTCCTGTTAAGAAATCAGCTGATAGTCTTATGAAAGCTCCTTTGTAGGTAACTGCTTTTCTCTTGCTACTTTTAAGATTTTCTCTTTGTCTTTAACCTTTGGCATTTTAATTATTAAGTGTTTTGGTGCAGCCCTCTTTGGGTTCATCTTGTTTGGAAGTCTCTGAGCTTCCTGGACTTGTTTACATATCTATTTCCTTCACCAGGTTAGGAAAGTCTTCCATCATTATTTTTTCAAATAGGTTTTCAATTCTTTGTTTTCTCTCTTCTCCTTCTGGTTCCTCTATGAGTCCAATGTTCTTATGCTTGATATTGTCCCAAAGGTTCCTTAAACTACCCTCAATTTTTAAAATTCTTTTTCTTCTTTGCTGTTCCAAATGAGTGTTTTCCACTGCTTTCTCTTCCAAATTGCTGATTCAGTCCCCTGCTTCATCTAATCTGCTGTTAATTTCATCTAAGGTATTCTTTATCTCAGTTTTTGTATTCTTCATTTCTGACTTTTTTTGTGGTTTCTATCTCTTTGTCTAAGCTCTCAGTGAGTTATTTTTTATTTTCCCAAATCCACTGAGCAGTCTTATAACCAGTGTTTCAAACTCTATATATTATAGGTTGCTTGCCTCCATTTTGTTTAGTTCTTTCTCTGGAATTTTGTCCTATTCTTTCATTTGAGACATGTTTCTTTGTCTCCCCATTATGGATGCATCTCTGTATTTGTTACTATGTATTAGGTAGATCTGCTATGTCTCCCAGTCTTAGCAGGTTGGCCTTATGTAGTAGGTTTCCTGTGGGGCCCCGTAAAACATTCTCCCTGGTTACCTGGTGTGGTTTGCATGTGTCTTCCTATTATAGTTGAGTGTCGATTGCTGTTGGAATGTCAGTGAGTAGAATTGAGCCTTAGGCTGACTGGCTGTGAGGACTGGCTATGACTACAGGGGATGCATGTGATTCTGGTGCCTGACAAGTCCACTGTTTGGACTGGTGCTCTGTTGTGATCTGAAGCTGGCCACCAGGTGTGTTGGCTCTGATGCCTCTTTGCTCTGGTGCAGGTCAAAGTCAGCTGCTGCTTGTGCCCAACTTAAGGCCACCTGGTAGGAACTACAAAGTAATCTGTGGTTTGTAGTTGCCTATGCTGGGCCTGGAGGCAACTGTGAGAGGCTATGCTATGACCTGAGACTAGTGCCACTAGTGCCAGGCTTGGGGCCACTTAAAAGAACTACAGGACATGCTCAGGCCAGCCACTGTTTGTTTTGGGTTTGTGGACCTTGAGAGATTTTAGGAAAGTCTGCATTGCTGGCAAAGTCCAGCTGCTTGTGAGAAACAGCCGCTGAAATAGGTTCGGGCCAGTGCACAAGTCGGGTGAGCGGGGTCTCAGGGAATCACCAGGGTGGGGTGAGCAGTGTTAGCAAGGTTGATGAAACTCAGACTTGGTGCTTGCCTGTGCCTATAGGCTTGGTGGGGAAAGGGCTTAACAAAGGAACAATGAAGGCTGCCAGCACTTCTGCTTGTGCCTGCCAGGTGTGTTTGAGGAGGGGTCACTTTCGCCCAGGAGAGAGCTGCCTCTTCAGCTCTCACTCTAAAGCCAATCATTTCAGCTCCTTCCATATGTCCCTGTGCTTTTCGAGATACTGTCCCTTCATTGGAGCTTATGGCAAGTATACGTGAGCAAGTATATGGGAGTCTGTACTTTCGCCCTTTAAGAAAATACCTGGGTCTACAGCAGCCTTTCATCTCACCTGAATGGAGTCTCCACTGATATTCACAACAGGTATTGTGGGGACTTTTTTTCCTGGAAGTCGTGCTCTGGCCTGGGGCACCCAGTGTGCATCTGGGATCCTTTACTCCACAGGGGGAATCTCTGCAGCCAAGATAACCCTCCTGATTCTTAACCACCACACATGAGTGTGAGACCAGCCTGTTTCACCTCTTCACCCTTCCTACCAGTCTTAATGTAGCTTCTTCTTTATATCCTTAGTTATAGAAATTCTGTTCAGCTAGACTTCAGGTGGTTCTCTATGGTGGTTGTTCTATAATTTCAAATATTACTGAATTCTTACTATATAACATGACTCTCCTAGGTACCTGAGATACAGATTTGAACAAGACATAACATCCCAATGCCTCCTAGAGTGTACATTATCATGGGAAAGACAATATATGTACATAAAAACAATTTTTAAGAGATAATTTTTAAATTTTTTCTTTCAATTGCCCTAATATAGAAAAAACAAAAATGAAGACTGACATGTCAAATATAAACATATAGTATATGGAACACAGTTTCTTATGACTTCTTGTTTAATAAAGATTTTTTTCCTCTCTCTATATCCTACCTTCCCATTACCTTCCTGCTCTGAAATGGTCACTCCTCAGCCGATCATGTGGGCACTTATGGCACAAATGTCTACCAGACATATGGCGCCTTTGGCCAGTTCACATATGAATTTGATGGAGATGAGCTCTTCTACGTAGACCTGGAAAAAATGGAAACTGTGTGGCGACTGCCTGAATTTAGCAATTTTACCAAGTTTGATACTCAAAGTGCCCTGAGAAACATTGTTGTGGCAAAAAGAAATTTGGATATCTTGATAAAAAATTCCAACTTTACACCTGCCATGAATGGTGAGTGTCCACAAATTTGTCTCTCTTTGCTGCATCTACCACACATTTTAGGTCTCTTTTCTTTTTTCCCCAGAATAGCTACTCTTCCTAGTATAATATAAATTCTTTCACCTTCCTATTTCATTTCCCAGTAGATACTCAGTCTCCATCATATCTACTTAATCTTTAAATATCCCTCCCCTAGATTCCATGAGATACTCCTGTACTCCTGTAAGAGAATATTCCCAACCTCTTGGCCTAAGGAGCACACACACAAACACACACACACTCACTCACACCATGCCCTGTGGATTCCCAAAGAGAGGAAATTGTTCTACACTTCATAGTAATTCAAAAGTAGAGGAAAGTTCAGAAGAGAGGACAGTTCAGAATCTGCAGATAAAAATGCCAGCACCCCTTCTAAAGTCACCATAGATAACATTAAGTTTCTTCATTCAGAAAATGAAAAAGTCAAAGTAGAAGTTTTGGACAAGGCTGCCGGGGGTGGGGGGCAGGGAGAGAGTGAAATAAATGATCTAAGAAATAGGTGAGAAAAAAGTGGGAAGGAGGCTGTTGCTTACTGTAAAATGAGTCTGGAAAGACACAGGGAATATATATCACTAACAGCCAGTGAATTGTGAATGGGAGGGATCCCCCAAACTGATTAAGAAACTCAATGCATAGTAGTCAGAAATTCAAATCAGTGTTTTGTCTTCATTGTAGAAATTCCTGAAGTGGCTGTGTTTCCCAAATCTTCTGTGATCCTTGGTATTCCCAACACCCTCATCTGCCTAGTGGACAATATATTTCCTCCTGTGATCAACATTACCTGGTTTTATAATGGACACTCAGTTGTAGAAGGAGTTACTGAGACAACCTTCTACCCTAAAAGTGACCACTCTTTCTTCAAGCTCAGTTACCTCACTTTTCTTCCCTTCACTGATGATTTCTATGACTGCAGAGTGGAGCACTGGGGCCTGGAAGAGCCACTCCTCAAACACTGGGGTATGTATAAATCCCATCATTGTTTGCAAATTCTCTGATTCAATCCCAAGTCCACATCATCGTGCCTTATAGCTCTTAATTCCCAGAATCACAACTCTTTTTCCCACAATTGCAAAATTTTCTGATGGACTTCACTCTTCTCTCAATGTCCAGGTGTCTTGTCCGTTTCCAAACACACACACGATTCTCTACATATTTATGCCCTACATACAGTGTCCTTTAACCCTATAGGTTTCTTTTTTCTCAGAGCCTGAGATCCCAACCCCTATGTCAGAGCTGACAGAGACTGTGGTCTGTGCCTTGGGGTTGGCCACGGGCCTCGTGGGCATTGTGATGGGCACCATCCTAATCATCCGAAGCCTGTGCAGAGATGGTGCCTCCAGACACTGAAGGACCACGTGAGTCATGGCTTAGAAAATAGGAAGGTGAGAATTAGAAGTATCAGATATGAAACGATGTTCCTTCAGGTAGTAAAGCCAAGGGTGGAGGATTGGCACCCAGGATATATGTGTTTGAAAAATTATGGGCAAATTGGAGGATGGGTTGACCTTGGGACAGGAGCTGAAGATCCATCAATCTCATGCTGTTTCCTGTTTCAGGTAATTAATCTTTACAAGAAAGAAGAAGAATGGTTCAAATTCTAGGTCTTTGTCTTGACCTTGATATATGACTTAGATCTGCTCCTTGTTTCACTTCATCATATTGCTCCTTTTAGAGCCTCCTCACTTTCCTGCTTGAGTGAAATTTGTAGAGAATTTTTCCTTCAGAGATCATTGACTGTTATGAATTCTTCCAACATAATCTTCTATTGATTGACAACTTTTCACAGAAAGACCCGGACAATTTCACTCAGCCACCTAGTTCTTAGTCACCCTAATTCAATATCTATGCCAAAATATATGTATATATCTTTCTGGGGTATCTTTGTTTAGAGTATACATTTTCTCTGTCTTTTTGATAGAGCTAATTCGGGTCATATATAAGAAGAGAAGACCTTCTGCTTGAATGTTAGCAGATGTTTCAGTGCCATTTGACCTCTTTCCCAGGTCATGTTAATACCACACAATCAAGGTGTCCAAATAATATTGTAACATAATAAATGTGTTCTTTTCCTTTCTGTACTTTTATTTTGTTCCCTCTCTCTCCCTGCCCATTTAGGTATCAGCAAAGACAGTGCATACTTTCTCCCCTCAGCATAGTGTTTTTATATCTGAAATGCAAAAAAAAAAAAAAAAAAATGGAGGAAGGAAAATGTTTAGGTATTCAATTTTAAAATAAAATTCTAAAATCTATGGAAAAGATAATAAATTGAAATAAAGTATTTTAAACACAAAAATTGGATTTTGAGAATAAAAAGTAAACATTTTTGCCATAAATATTAGATTTGTGACAAAAGCAGAATGATGTGAGAGGTTTCCTCCTTGTTTCTTCCCCAGATGTGATAGAAACTCTTTAAGTTGGGAAGAGAGAGAAGTTAGAAATGAGAACAATGACATGAGATACTGCTGTGTATCTTAGAAAGTGCTCCACACTTTACTTTTATTTGTGTTATTATCATGAGAAAGGAGAGAAGGAGGTCATTGACTAGCTAAAGGGGCCTACAGCAGAGGCAGCTGCAGCCTCATTTCCCTGTAGGCACTACCATTTGACAATAGTGTAAACACAATTTAAATTCACTCCATGCTCAAGATCATAAATTGTTTACTGACAACATTTAATATGGGTTGTTTTTATTGTATGAGAATTTATAGATTAACCGAGAGTTCATAATATTTCAGGTTTACATACAATGTAATCCTTTAGCAACCACAAAACGGCTGTTGAGAGGACCCATGAAGTAATACATATAAAACACCTAGCCTAATATATGGCACACAGTAAGCCCCAAATATATGTTAACTATGAATATTATGTATATTATCTGTACTTGAAACTCCAATTTCCATGCCCAGACTCTGAAAACCAAGTTTAGTCCATGCAGAGCATTCTTTTTGCTTAAACTAGTTAGTCTTATACGTCTTTAGACCAATTTCA